AGGGAAGGAGAGAGGGAGGGAGAGAGGCAAGGAGAAAGCCTGAGAGAGAGAGAGAGAGAGAGAGAGAGAGAGAGAGAGAGAGAGAGACAGAGAGAGAGAGAGAGATATCATGGCAGCCTCCTTTTGAATGAGCCTGACCACTCTTATCAGGCACCAGCCATGGCACTGCCCTGCTTTATCTGGCTTGTCCACGAAAGCCAAACGAAAGGCAGAATGTCACGTTGAGAGGGTATCATGGCTCTGTTGAGAGGGTATCATGGCTCTTTCAGACCTCCTACACTTCCAGAGGAGCTGGTGGGATTGAGGTCTGGTTGCTGCCAACAATCCTATGGTGTGTCCTTGGCTCCAAATTCTGCTGCTCTAAGCTACATGGTCTTAGATGCATTTTTTCCTTTAGGTTTCTCACTCTAATCCATGTCACTTGTGTGAATTGTAGTTTGATCAGGCGCTGTCTCAATTTAGACCCTTTTTTGGGTGTTCTACTTGCCAGAAATTCCTTTACGTTATACATGAAAGGCACCCTTGCCTAATTTCCAGTGCCAAGACCACATTCCCCTGTTTTTATGTCCTGGTAGTCATTTTCATGGGCACCTGTAGACGACGCAGCTTTACATGTGCTTCACTGGTCACCTTGAACCGGAAGTTGTCATTCCATACTATTGCATTTAAAGGCCCTTCCTGTCTTGCTGATGTTAGGGGCCAAAATAAAAGAAATCAGGTGGTACTGAGAGATAAGCTAGAGTATGTATGGGGGTGAGGTTTAAGAAATTTGCAGTTATCAAAGTTAAGGAACAGATCAGGGGTCTCAAATGCAAGAAAACAGTCATTTCATGGGTCAGAAATACAAGTGCATATAGAGGATTTGGAGGGTCGGTCAGATGCATGAACTATTGTATCTTGGGAAACATATAGGTGAGAGGAGGTGTCCGGTCTCCTTGGTCAAGCACTCAGGTGTGCACTGGGGCTTCTTTGGAGGGTCAGGCAAATCCTTAGGGTTAGGAATATGCCAGTGTTCTGGCTGATGGGCCAATTACACGAGGCAAAGTCCAGATGTTCTTGGAGGTGACTGGTACCCTGGGCTCCTCCTGCACACATCTGTGTCAAGGTAGACTGGAGTGACAAGTTCAAAAAGCAGTGCTGCTGCTGCTGACAGTGACTGCTGGGTGGTTCTGAATCCTATTTGGAAACTATAACCATGAGTTTCTTTTAGTTCTGAAACAGTTCTGAACCTATCTGTGTCCCAGGGACTCCCTCAGGAGGCCAAGGGGCCATGAGGAGAAGAGTTAGAACAGGAAGGGGCTACACGATGCCACACGACCTCCCTCGGTGCCTTGCCCTCCTTTCCCAAGGACCTGGTTCTGTACCAGTTCTGGTGATCACAGGGTCCCGTGATGGCCTTTCAGCCAGGGCAGAACCACAGTCCAACCTTCTGAAGGGTGCTACAGAGGCCAAGACACAAGAGGAAGACGTTCTTCAATAAGGCTGAGCACAGTATTAGAAGGGCGGGTGGCAGGCCAGCTGGGCAGGTGGCTGCAGAGACAAAGTCTGAAGTCTGGGAAGGTCCCCCTAAGGAACATAGGAATTCATCCCCCTTTTCCTGCAACCTAAAGGACTACCTAAGGTCCGGCGTCTTGCATGACTGCTGACCTGGGTTGTATGGCCCATGTCCCTCCTTTTTTTCTCTGAGTGTCTCCAAAAGTCTCTTTTCTGTCTATTACTAAGCTGCTCACTGGTTCCTGAGGCAGAACCTTGACAGTGCAGTTGCGTGTGCACACCTGTTAACTGTGTCTTAGGTGCTGCTACTCTGCATCCCACCCTAGTGAGTCTTCTCAGGCACTAGCTGTATTCCACGGGACCTCCAGCAACAGAGGAGCCCTTCTGTTGGTCCTATTAGGGCACACACATAGAACCGCTGGTCATACTCCCTTCAAAACTAGAAAATTATAAGTTATGCCTCAAATATGCCCCTTTATTTCTGCAGGGTTAACAACAGCCTTCAGCCATGAAAGCCTGTGCATTGTCTACCTTTCACCAGTTCCATCTGTAGCACTTAGAAGGGGCAGTGACTTGACCCTGCGGTCCCCGGATGTATCTTCTGAGGCTCTGCTGATCATGAACAAATGGATGGAGCAAAGTGAGGTCGAGGGGGATGCCTGAAAATACGGCCCTTAGAAAGTATGAAGTCCTGCCTATTGCTCACTTATAGGAAGATGCACGCTGTTTTCTTTGTGTCTGGGGTGCTCAGAAGGTGAACAATAGAGCTTAAGAAGCCAATGATAGGGCTCCAGTCCCCACTGGGCCACTTTGCCATAATCTGCTCTGCTTCAGGCATATCCAACCCCAAATGGTCATCTCATGAGTGCTCATCTACTTGGGTTCAAGGATAATTAGGTGAGAGTGAGAGATGCCCTCCAAATACACACACACACACACACACACACACACACACACATTCTCACACCCCAGAGAACACATGCCCCAGAGGGCGGGGTCATGAGGATCAGCTGTACATAGAAAGAATCGTACATTCACCACATCTAGAGAGAGTCCTCAGGGATGCGGGTTATTTGATGGTCTCTCTTTAGATGTTCCAGAGCAATAGCCTCTGGTGGTTTCTAATGTCAAGACTTCTCTGACTATAGGGAATAAAACTATATTAGAATAAGCTAAAAAAAGTTTCTTGGCCTAAGATGAAAATGGACAGGCTCTGAGTGACTTTCCTTATAATCCACTTGAATATAATCCAGCTCTTTGATAAATTCTCCAGAGTCATCTCCTTGATTACACACATCACATGTTATTGGAGATGCTTAATCACACACACTCACACACACACACACTCACACACACACACACACACACACAGAGAAACACAAGTCATGTGTATGCTCAGTGTCTTAACAACTTCCTCTCTCTAACTCTATAATCCAAGTCCTATCATTTCTTTCTTACATATATTTTGAATCTACTTTCTTTAACCCCACTGCCACACATAGGCCATCACCGTGACACATGGAAGCTACTGAAATAGCCTACTAGTTGACCGAAACATATACTCAAAACATACACACAAGTGCACACACACATATGAGACAAGTATGCACAGAAACAGATCCCCAAACCAAATACATAGGCACGCATTCACACATATGCGGAAACATATGTATAAAAGTATCTATATTCACAAACACATATCTACACAAGTTCACACATACACACGCACACACATACATTCTACGAGCTCTTCATTATCCAGGTTGACGGGCAGAGTTCACAGTGGAAAGCCTGACTCACTGGCCACTCGCACTAAATTTATTATTATTACTTTTTATGCAGTCAACCCATACTCAGTCACATATGTATTTGAGAGTAGTCAGCGCCTAGGCAAACTCTCAAGCCACATTCCTGGGCACTCTCCTACCTTTCTCTTTTAGGTTCTCACTTTCTCCCCGATGAGTGAGGACAATATCTTGGGACTCAGGAGGGAAGATAAGAATTTGGATCATTCACACAGAGATCAATGAGTGAGTGCTGAGCACACTTTTGCATACTGTAACATACATGCGCTAAGAAATCGATAGCGTTACCTTGAGGACATCTCCTTCAGAGAGCTCGAATGCTCTAGCTTTAAGCTGAATCCCCTTTCCCGGCTGGGTCTGGATGGAGTAGATGCATTCGTGGTTGTTATTGTAGTTCACAGGAAAATTGGGGGACAGCAAAGTGCCTTGCGTGCCCGTGACTGAATTCCCGCACTCAGCTGGAAAGAGAATCATAATAACCACAGATTAACCCCCATTGGCTACATCCAGGAAACAAGTCACAGAGCTGGAGCACCTTACAAAGATGACACGTTGTTTGCCTCTCTAACTGCCAAAATGCCTGTTTATCTGTCCATTTGTCTGCTCGCCTGTAGGACTGCTTATCGAAGTTTTTTTTTTTTTTTAACACCTGCCCATCACCTATAGATCTGCTTGGTTTCTTCCCCTCTCTCATTCTGTTTGTCTGTCTTTCTCCTGCAGAAACAGAAACAAACCCACTAGGAACCCTTTACTTTTACAGTTTTCTGAAGCAGCCATTCCCCACACCTGTTCATATGGTATCATAGCAACAGAAATGACGGAGAAGGATGTCAGGGGAGGATGGTGGCAGCCAAGTGAGGAGAGACGAAGCCTTTCAGCACAGGAGGATAGAAACTAAGAGGGGACAAGATCGAATAATAATTGCGAGCATCTTCCTGGCTTCACAGGGATCATTTCAGTCATTAGTCACGACAAGCAACTCCATAGGTGGGCAGAGTTACCATCCCTGCGGTAAAGACAAAGAACCGGGTACTTTGCAATTTAGATCCAGTCTTCTCAATTCATGAAGAGGAGAGGGCTGAGAACCTCTTGGTCCTGGAATTGAGGCTCTGGGGAAAGTTTTAGCAGTGACCCACTGAAACCTTGTTTCTTTCAACAGCTAATGAATTCACACCCTCCTCTCAAAGCCTGTTTCTTCTCCGGAATTAGTCATCCTTTCCGCATTGTTCCCATCACTTTATTTATAGCAGTTATCACATTTTACTTGACTTATTTCTGTCTCCTTCACTGCACTGAGAATCTTCTAGGGCTTGGTCATATCTCTATGTCCACAACACCCACTCAGTTCCCGGGCAGGGCGGCCATCAGCGGATGAAAGGGAAAGGCGAGGCAGCTCAGTGGCAGGACATGTGCTGAAGTAGCCTGCAGTTGGCTTTCTAGGCTCTAATAAATGTGAAGCCTCCTGTTCTTCCCTGTACCACAGCACCTACAATAGTGCACCCCGATTACTGGTTACTTGCCTGCATTCCCCACCCACACTGGGAGTTACTTGAGGGCAATGTCATGCTTAATGAATCTGTGAATTGTCAAGGCTTAGCCCAGATCACCTGTGAAATCAATATTTCACAACCAAAGGAATGAATGAATATTAGAGTATACTGACCTCAGGAGATGTACAGTCCTCAAAACCACTAGGTTCTGGAAGGATGTCAAATACAAGGCCAGATGGCGGGCCCATTGCTCATCTGGACAGTTGGGGAGTTTGGAGCATGTGTTGAATCTTTGAGGCTGATGGAGCTTGCTTTCTCTAAACCATCCCTCGGTGTCCCTCTTCTAGGCATAGCCCTTGGCTGGAAGCACCCTGAGGTCAACGAATGGGCCATGGATTTGACCACATAGTCAACCCTAATTACCCTAAACTTGGAGTGTACTAGGCTAAGGCTGTGTCGATGGAGCACGTGATACAGGAACATTCAGAGCTAAGGTTCTCATGGGCTTAGCTGTACCCTTCTGTGTCCTCTGGCCCCCAAGGCTGTTCCTTAGACCTTTGAAGACAGTGACCATGTCCCATCACCAAGCCCCAACTTTTTTGATGGGCCCTGCTCCCTGGGCTCAGAACCAGCTACAGAAGTCATTACTACTGCCTGAATGTCTGGAGGCAGACAGGAAAGTTACACCAACTCTCTGAACTTCGGTCTCTTCATCGGCCTCTATCTGTACAATAACGCCATCCTCAAGACCGTGGAGAACAAATGCATGAGATTTGACGACAAAACAGGTGAAGATATGGGGAGCGGTTGGCACATAGGGGGCCGTCAGCAGGTGTTATTCCTCCTTTTGCTCCTCATTGATCCCAAGTGAATCTATGTGGCTTATCTGCTTCCATCAGGAGCCCTGACTGCCCGCGCTCTGGGACTGGCAGAAAGCCCGAGAAGCTTTTGGGAAGCCTGTGTTAGCTGTCTGACATTCACAGCACCCTCACCGTTACTGATGCCTCTTGCCCTCTGCCGAGTTCCTAAAAGTTGGCTTCCCTTAAGCATGGGCTTTGGCATATTATTGGGGCCCACCCCCTTCCTGCCCCTGCTTCTCAGCACATTAGATGTATGCCCATCTCTGCCCCAGCATGACCCTCTCGTCTTCCCCACATGCCCAACACCTTTATGAGGAGGAAACCGGGGTTGATAGCCTTAGATGGGGCCAGTCCTCGGCCAATCACCAGGTACTGACCCCCTGCCAGGGTATCAAAGAGGGTACGGGAGGATAGTAGAGAGACGTGGCGTTTGCTTCTGGGAGAGTTTCCAAAGTAACAGGGGAGGTGAGCAGATGCACTGAAAAGCCAAACACAAGCATAAATGGGAACAAATAAATGTTCCAGAGAAACAAACAGTCATATGCCCAGGAAATTGCTGCTGCTGGTTCAGGCGTCTGTGACTTCTGTCGACCCCATCAGAAGAGGTCTCCTTAAGGGCAGAGGCTGTGTCTTACTCATCAGTCTGGGGCTCCCGAGGCAAAGGGTTAGGTCTTCTCTATCACACTGGGGCTCCCAAGGACAGGGCCATGTCGCCTGTGGCAGACTGGGTCCCCTGGGGTCAGGACTGTCTCTTCCCCATCAAGTTCAAGGGTCCCTGAGGTCAGGGACTGTGTCACCCCATCACACCATGACTTAGAGCCCAGGGATATTCATCTCCTTCTCAGCTGGGAATGTTCCCGGAAACACTGTGTGGGCTAAGTCATTCAACTTACACCTGCAGCACATGTGGGAACTGGGAGCCTCCCCCATGGGCACTCCCATCACACCTTCAGCCCGAGGTCCTGTGGCAGGGCTGGTGGTAATTAGAGGTGATTATAGTTGCTGTGCATTATGAATAACATGAGAAGCAGAAGACACATGTAATAATGAAAATATTGTGAGGTGTCATGAACAAACAGCAACCGGAATCAAAAGTTAAAGAATGAGTTTATGTCACGAGATCAATGCGGCAGAAGGAGTGTGCGCATCTGTGGTCCTGGATAATCTATTCCGGGAACATGCCCCCCAGAAGCACTGAGCGGAGGACATTTTCCCAGAGAAGAAAAGAGCTGCTAGCAGCCAGATACAAACTGACCCTCCACAGGGGGCGGACATATGTGTCTGAATGTGAGCCTTGGGTCAGGGTGGGTGGATGGTCTGGGGGATGGTTCCAGGAGAAAGGACAAACCTTAGGGTTATTTAATGGGTCAGAAATGGAATTCTGCATCTGTTTGTCTTAATGTTTCCTCTGTGAGGTTGTAAAAGGTTATTGCTTATCGGTCTTCAATAAATAAAAAGGTTACTGGCAAAATGATGATAATTACAGGGTGCCTCATGGCTTCATATAAATATTGTCATCTAATCTGAAATACAGTGAGTTGGATATTGTTATCTCCGTTTTACAAATGAGGACGCTGGGGCTGAGGGGTCTGGTGGCCTGCCCAAGGTCTACCAGCTGGTAAGCGGCAGAGCAGAGACCCGACCTGGAGCTCATGTGACGGCGGCCTGAGCCCAGCCCATTTTGCCGGCCTGTTGACAGCTGTCCTCTGCAGAGCCACAGGGCTCCATGGAGTTGTCTCAGGCAAGGCTGGCCTCACAGGCCCTTAAGACGCTGGCCCAGTCTCAGTCAGTGCAATGTTGCTTTTATCTGTTTGGTCTGTTGCGGTTTTACGTACTATTTCACTTTAAGTGCGAGTTCCTTGGCTAACGGCCAGCATGGTAAGTACCCCACTAATCCTGCCTGTGTTCCGTCCAGTCCCACGATGCAAATTCTGAGCAAGCAGAGCTGTCAACCTTATAAATGAGGGACAGCCAGTTGTTGTCCCCATTCCCTGTGATATGAGCCTATTTCTCCTCACCCCCCCCCCCCCCAGGCCCAGAGCTCTGAACAGCCTTCTATAGAGCTCTGGCAGGGCCTTGGCTCGGAGGGCTCCTGGTTCCAACTCTCTAACCTCATCATCTACTGTTCTCCCTGTCGCTTGTTCCAGGCGGACCTCTGAGCTGCTCCTCAAACACCGAGCATCCTCACGACTCAGGGCCTTGGCACTCTGGTTCCTTCTCTCCCAGACAGTGGAGGGATCAGCTCCTTGAATTCCTTTCGCTCTCTGCTAAAATGTCAACTCATTAGGGAAGCCTCTGCTGACCACTCTTTATAAAAGAGCAACCCTACCTCCAGCACTTTCTCTGCTGACCTTATTTTTCTCTATAATCCTCAACATTGCCTGACATACCACATATCTGTTTACAGCCTATCTCCTCCACCAGGATGTGAGACCACAAGAGGCGGGACTTTCTCTGTTTTCCTCACCTTTGTATCCCCAGCACCTAGAAGCCTGCCTGACATGCAATGGGTGCTCTACAAATGAACCTGACTTTTGCTTCCCTCTCTGCTCCCCAGCTGAGTGGATAAAGTTTTTCTAGGGATTCTTAAAAGCTAGTAGTCCCATTGGACTAGTGAAAGCACCTTCTATTCCACCAGACTGGGCCTCTCCATGGGCAAAGGTCCCACCTCCTTCCTGTAGGTCCACCCAGGTTTCTCTGCAAGAGGCATCCTAAGCCGTGGGAGTATGTGTTAGGGGCCGGAGGGAAGAGTGTGGAAGTCAATTTCATTTGAGTGCCTATTGCGGATCCACTTTACAGAGGTTAGGTCAGGCTACAGAACAGCCCACGAATCAGGTACCGCCATCCCGTTTTACAGACCAGGAGGCTGGAGAAGAAGGGGGTTAGGCCACTCCAGGTCCCACTGCAGGTCACTGTATGCTAAGGCAGTCCTCAAACCCAGGCCTGTGGGCCTCTTGGCCTGTGTGCTTTCCACCGTCTCACACCAATTGACTAACGCTTGGCCCACCCCATTAGTGAAGCAAAATGAAAGCACGTGACCACCTACCAACACACCTTGGCAGAGGCGAACTCCACAGGCGCCGTCTGCCCCCCAGGCACGTGATGCGGGCCGTGCCCTCCAGACGGTACCCGGGGAAGCAGGAGAAGGTCAAGGTGTCGCCTACGCCAAACTGCAAGCCCTTCCGGATGCTGTAGGCGGGGACCTCGGGCTCTTCACAGGGCTCCAAGTCATACTCTGGAGAGGCAGCAGGGGAGCCGGGGTCAGGCACGGAAGGTGGCAGCACACAGACAAAAACACCAGGGAGAAAGGGGCCCGGGGTAAAGGCAGAGCACAGGACACGCACACACTGACCCATGAAGGGAAAAGAGAGAGCGCCCGAGAGAAACACAGGCCGAGAGACATGCAGCTAGGAGGGGTGCAGGCTGCGCTGTGCTTCGGGTGGTCTGACGGCGCTCTGATGGAGCTGGGCAGAGGGCGCAGTGCTTCTGGAAACATGCTTCCCGCGAGGACTTCTGAGGTTCCTCATGGCTTGACCCTTCCCTCCTCTATTCCATTCATCTCCCTATTAACCCCAAGCCTCAGGACTTGCAGACTCTCCTGCCTCTTTCTCCCGGGGCATTGAACCAGGTAAGCCCAATCAGCAGGGTTGTAGAGGGTCAGAATATGTGACCCAGCCGAGGGCAACCTACATTGGGAAAAAGAATCTAAATGCTTCACTCAAAGCTATGTCTCGGTGATGCTGGCACTTGAGGCAGATGGCAAGCATGACAGGGTGCCATTTATGGACGAGGAACCTGCCTGGTACCTCCACTGGCAGCATAAAAGTGACCATTCCTTGCCCCCCGAGGACATCTCCCTCTGGGGCACAGTCCCCCAGGGCTCTGTGTGGTGAGAAGGGTTTCTTTCAGACAGATGAGGCACAGTGGCTGGACATGTCCCATCTGGGATACCAGCCCAGGTGCATGGCAGGTGGCTTCTGCCAGAGGGACAGCATGGGGCTGAGCTGGGCCATGTTCCACTTCCCAGAGGCCAGATATCTCTTGCTCATCCCCGGGGAGTCCATCTGATACCTCTGCTCCCGGCTGGGAAGCGCGGAACACGGGGGAGCGATGGGGTAAGAGTGGCATGTGGACTTGGGACCAGAGGAACGAAGGGTCCCCTTTTCTCCCTGAATGCCAAATTAAAGTTTTTTTTCAGGATTCCTAAACACAGAGATAAATATCTATTACTGCTAGCTTAGCATTGATGAAGAAACTCCAAAAGAGGCAAAAACATTCTACTATGTTAACTTCAAACCGTCTTCTTTTTTTTGGTAAATTTCTGGGGCTGTGGAATAGTGGACATGGGTGGGATCAGGATCGGAATCTGGAGTTGCCAGGGCAGGAAGGGGCTTCTGTGACTTCCTCTTGGTGAACCAGTTGGGTAAGTCATGTTCAGCGGGAAACCTGAACACCTTCAAAGAAGGTTCCCCCACAAACCTGCTAACTCCTTCTAAGCCCATTACAGGGAAGTTCGCCTTGGTGTCTAACCTAGCTATCTTTTGCTGCAGCAATGAGGTCATTCTCCCAGTGACTGGAGAATGGAAGACTAGAGGTTGGCAGCAGAGGGACAGATAGAGTGTCCCTCCCCCAAGGGACGCTCACAAGCTTTACCTGAGAAGGTGATGTTGAATCCTTCATAGGACATGGAGAAGTCGGAGATGAAACGGACCTGGGCGGTGAAGTTGCCATAGAGCCCAGCGCTGATGGGGGCTGGCAACCTTGAACCCGTCAGCTGCCTCAGGGGTTGGGTGAAACTGCCGTTCTCGGTGATGAGGAGGTAGTCGTGGCCACTCTCCAGGTGGAAGGTGTGGAAAGTAAAGAACACACCTGACAAGAGACCAGAAGGGTCAGGGTGATGACGGTGAGATGGCTGAAGCAGCCCAACTGCAAGATGGAATTTGCAGACATTTCCAACTTTTAACTGCCGATGGGGGTAGAGGTACAAGCATGCACTGATGCATCCATACAGGCGAACCTGAGTGACGTGCAGGCCGCCACTGCCCACAGGTCCAGGTAGGGAGAAGCACACCCCTTTATGGTTGTCAAAACTGAAAAGGTAGATTTACGGCTCATTCTGTGACAATGCTTCCCAGCCTTTCACTCACTCACTCACTCACTTGCTCATTCAACACGTACGTGGATATTTGTGGAGCGTTTCCTACGGGTTAGGATCCAGGGCAGATAGGTGCAAGGGGACATAGGAGACGTTAAACAAGTAGCTACAGTACGGATTGATGACTGCTATAAAGAGCGTGAATCAGAGTGCCACAGGGAGCAGAATGAAAAGCAATTTGCAGCAGGAGGAGGGGCGTGGAGGACAGCCTCACCAAGGAGTGCACATTTGATTTGAGTCTTAAAAGGATGCATAGGCATTAACGAGGTAGGAGAGAAAAGTGCGTCCCAGTCAGTGGACGGGTGTGTGTAAAGGAGCTGTGGAGTCCGGGGCTCAGTGAACAGCGCCGTGTGGCTGGGAACACTCAGCAGGAAAAATCTGGAAAGGCAGGCTGGGGCTAGGCTGGGTGTTTTTCTGGGGACAATGAGAAGCCATCCTATCCAGAGTGGATCAGACTTCAGACTTAGGAAGACGCTGATGGCTGTAAGGAGGATGAAGAGGAGGCAGAGGGCAGTTAGGATGATGGCAGTCATGCGATGGGGCTTGGCAGAGGGGCTGAGAGCAGGAAGTGGACATGAGGCCTCAGGGAGAGGGAGTGGACAGGAACCAGAGGCAGTGAGTGCAAAGGAGAAATGAAAGGGAGCCTCTTGGCCTGAAGGGAGGTGATGTCTTTCGCTCTGCAGGGTAGGACATACAGGAGGAAAAGGAGGCGTGGAAGGGTAATGGGCGTAGCTTTGAACGCCCCGTGTTTTCAGCGTCCAAGCAGTGATACAGCTTGTGGGCAACTGGGAGTACTGATGTGGGGTTCAGGGTGAAGGTCGGACCACAGAGGTAGGTCTGGGGGTCATCAGCAAATAGGCCCTCTTCTCCGTGCGTCAGCCACAAGCGTGGGCAAGAGGGTGGAGGAGGGCAGAGTGAGGTCAGGGAAGGGGCGGGGTGGGAGATTGGGGCGGAGTGGTATTAAGGAGACAGAGAGGAAGAAAAAGGGAGGTGAGCACTCCCCTGAGGGGGAGGGGTTAAGAGCACTAAATAAAGATAATAATATTCATTAACATTTGAACACTAAATATTTGTGTGTTACTGTTGTACGTGTTTTAATTGCCCTGTAATCGGCCCCTATCCTTTGGAAGGGAGGATAGGAAAACTCACTGAATCCTGACAGTGACCCTATGACATGGGTACAATCATTTTCATCTCCGTTTTACACCTGAGGAAACTGAGGCACAAAGAGATGACAGTCACGCGTCCGAGGTCACCCAGCTCGTAGGTGGTAGAGCTGAGCTCTGAACTGAGGCAATCTGCCTGCAGAGGCTGTGCAATAAACGGCTACGCGACACTGCTTCTCATGCTACAGAAAGTGAGCGGGGAGCAGGAGGGGTCAGGTGGTGAGAAAGGGTGTGGAGCAGCTGCCCACCAACAAGTGTGTGTGCCCATGGGAATATATGCCCTGGATGTGCTAGGGCAGGAGCTTGGGCACACTAGGGGTGCAGGAGCCACTTATTCAGAGTCCTCGGGCCAGCAGCATGGGCATAGCCTGGGCGCTTGTTACAAATGCGGAATCTTGGCCTCCACGCAGACCTGAAGCAGGATCTGCACGCGAACTAGACCCCGGGTGATGTGCAGGCACATAAAAGTTTGAGAAATACTTCTCTAGATAATGACATGTTTTTGGTAAAAGATGGGTGGATCCAAGCTCTTAATGCTCAAGCATTTAAGATGTTTTCAGAGGCTTGCCTCTCTGTTGATAGAAGCTGGCGATGCAGGAGTATTTGGGATTCTGTGGGGGTGGTGGTGGGGGTGGGGTGGGGAAACAGAAGCGGCCGTGAGATGCAGCTTGTAAATGCCCTATGTCCAGGCAACCGAGGCGCATCCATTTATCTGTGTGCCCAAAGAAACAGATCCTAAGCACCTATCAAGTGCCAGGCCTGCGCTAAGTACTGAGAAAGGTCTCCAGGTTTCGTGGAGGAGACAAATCATCAATAGTGAGAGACCAGAGCGGGGGCACAGAGGAAGCGTGGGCAGTTATGCCGTGAGGGTCGGGAAGGCTTCACAGGGCACACAGGCCTCGGCATGATGGCTGTGAGCATGCTTGGAGAGCCTCAGGGATGCGTGCTTGAATGTATCCTATGTTCCCGACACACAAGCGTGTGCCAGTGAGGAAAGAGTCACAGTGCACAGAGCCTGGGAGAAAGCTCGGTGGAATATACTCGTAGGTCCTTTGCCTCCCAGCTGGAAGGCAGGGCTGGGTGGAGAGGGGGTCATACCCAGAAACAGGGGAAATGGAGTGGCTGAAGCCCTCCGTCTGGCACGCTACTCTTCTGCATGCAAACACAGCGCCTCCACAGGAGACAACATTTGGCTGGGATCCTAAGGGTAAGCAAACCACTGAGATGAAACCCCTGGGCTTCCCGGCTGTCCCGATTGCTTGGGGGCTCTTCTGGCCATTCTGAGAAAATGAAGACACTGTCACAGAAATAGGCCCTAGGTTGAAGTGTGAACGCAGATTTGGTGTGGCAGAAGTACACACCAACGGATACTTCACTGGAGTGAACCACTCAAAAACGTAAGGACGACAGAGATATCACACTGGAGCAGAAAGACAGGGCCGTGGGAAAGGCATGGGCTGCGGAGGGAGACAGACCTGGGTCCAAGGCCCACGGGCCGGCGCAAGGATATGGGCAGAAGTCTCTCAGCACGCCCTGAGTTTGAGTTTCTTCAACTGTGATTTTTGGATGACAGTACTCTCTCACGGGTGACATTTAATCCTTGGAGTGAGGAACAATTGGGATAGCATTTGCGAAGCACACAGCACAGTGCCTGGCACATAGTAGGTGCTCTCTTCTCTCAGCTCATCCCACTCCCAGACAGCCTTGTGGGTTTTAGAAAAGATATGAGTCCTGGGCTCTCAGCATGAGCACATTCTCTTTCTTGCCCGTCCCCTTGGGCTGGGCATGCGGCAAGTTAAAAAATTCTGAATTTCCCAGAATTTTGAGTTTCCCCCGCTGTCCTCCTGCCTGTTAGGGAGCAAAGAGCCAGCAGCCTCTTATGTCTGTTAACCTGAGATACTCTTACAAGCGGCGCCCTCTGGAGAAGGTTCTGGGTTTAGTTTAATTCAATTCACATACATATTTCTTGAGTTCCTTATGTGCACATGTATTTTTAAGGGTTTTGATTCATTGCTGGATCAACCTCTGGAAAGTTTCAACCATTGCACAAATGTCAGCACTGAAGAAGAGTATTTATGTCCCTACAGTCCCCTAAATGGTCATGATTTTCTTTGCTGACTTGGAAAGGGGAATGGTATTTCATAACTGGCGGAATTTGCACTTCTTTATCAGTGGGGTTGATGTCTTTTCATTGGTACTTCCTCTATTTCGATGTGTTAGCGTATAGTTTTGCTCATTTTACGGGCCTGTACTCCAGAAATATTTTCATTAAAGATTTTTAAGAGCTTTTCCTGTTTCAGGTCGATAATCCTTAGTTGATTTCATACATTGCACATATTTTTGTCCATTTACAATTTTAATATTTTATGGATTTGTTTTTACATAAATCCATTCAAAGTTTTATTTAATCAAGTCGAACAGTCTTTGTGGATTCTGCTTTTGGTGTGACTCTTAAAGTATGTCCCCATCTGAAGTTGGATTTTCATGTTCTAATACTGGAATTTATGTGGTTAAATGTGTGTGGTATGATTTTTTTCCTTTGTTTCCAAATGTTTAAGCCCACTGTTTTAAAACCATTTATTAAGTAATCCATGCTCTCTTCAATGGATTGGAAATGACACTTTAATAATATATTAAAGACAGTCTCTCTCTCTCTCTTTCCCTCTCTCTCTCTCTCTCTCTCTCTCTCTCTCTCTCTCTCTCTCACACACACACACACACACACACACACACACACACACACGAATCTATTTCTGGACCATTATTCTCCCCAGGTGATTTGTGTGTCCACTCCTATATCACAGTGCCAAATTATTTTAGCTCATAACAACATTTTAATATCTGGAAGAGTTGCTCTTCCTTTAAAATTTTGTTCTTGTCTTTTCTACATGTTAATTCTTCTGGATCAGTGGTTCTTATTTAAGGGCATCAGAATTACTAGTGAAGTGTTCTAAAAACATAGATGGCTGGTTTCCACCTCCAGCGTAGAAAATCAAAACCTCTAGGGTGTGAGCTAAGCATTAATGTATTTGCCAAAGTGCAGGGGTTAAGAACCATGACTCTAGATGAACTTCAGAATATGCTTCTGAGCGTCGAGGCCACATCTCCCAGGTTACTGTTTATTCTAAGACCTGGTGACTGCCACACAGGTGGCATTCAGTCAATATTTGTTGAACGGAAGAGTATATTAATTAACGATTATTTGTAATCAGCACCCTTACTTTGAACTCGGACTCCCAAAGATCATTTATGTTAGGGAAGGTGGGCAACAGTCCAGTCTGGTGAGGCACAGCTGAGTTATGCGTGAAGCGGGTTGCTATGTCCAATATTGGAAGGGTGGACATGAAGAAAAGGGAGTAGATGCATCCTATGTTCCCCCAGGACACAAAACAAGGAAGAAAGTTTCAGGGACACTTAACAGACTATTAGGAGGGGTCAGATCTACCAAAAGCTGATAGTAGGTGCACACTGGTTGAATGGGTTGGCCACTTCCTCACCACTGGGGGTGTTTAGACACAAGCTGTGTCATCATCTGTGGGGAGTGATTTAGAGAAGATTATTGCATTAAGAATTTGAGAGCTGGTAATCTCTAAGATCTCCTCCAGCATGGAGATTTTGATTCTTAAAAATGTTTATGTTAAAATATTCTGTTCGTGAGTTCTGTGATCAAAGAGATGGAAAGGTTCTAGGAGCTTTGTCATCGGTGAGAAAAATTCAGACTAAGCCCAGAGGTCACTATATAGAGAGATCCCCATTGAGGTCATTCTGATCCAGGGAATGTGGGGTCCTGACCTTGTCACATCCCAATACCTGCCTAAACCACTCACCCTTATGGGCCTAAACCACTCACCCTTGCCATGCGATGTTTCAATAATCCAGGTGCAGTTCAAGTTGTTGGGGTAGAAGTCAGGGAACCCTGGTGACAAGATGGTCCCACTCGAGCCTTGAATGAAGCCACCACAGAGTGCTATAGAAGGAGTGGAGAGGGCAGTGAAAGACTCGAATGGCTCAAGGAGCTCCCCCAACAATCTTCCTGGGAGCCCATCCCCCACCTCTTCTCAAACCCTCATTGACGGTATTTGAGAAGTCAGTGTCCCTTCCAGCTCCTGGTTTTTCATGTCAGGAAAGGAATCCAGTACATTAGTGCCCCTTTTATGGCGTGCCTCACCTTCACAGCTGGGCAGGGCCCGGCTCCACTGGAAGTTGGGCTCACATTCCAGGGGCTCTCCATCACTTAATGTGTAGCCCGAGTCGCAGCTGAAGGTCACCAGAGCGCCCACATAGAAGTCATTCCCATGACGCTGCCCATTTACAGGGATCCCTGGATCCAGACAGTGGTCTGATTGCAGCGTGATAGCTGGAAAAGAGAGCCCACAGCTGGAACAGACAGCTCAACCATCTCCACAGAGGGACCCCAGCTGACTCACAAAGGGAGGGAGGTGAGAGCCCTGCTTTACAGAAGGCTGAAGTTGTCATTTACCCACTTCTCAAATGTGGCTGTCAAGATCTGCTGAGAGGATATTTGAAGACCTATCAGAAAAAACAAGCTGGCTCGATCATTTGTTCATTCATTCATTCATTCAACCTAAGTTGAGTGTCCACTATGGCTTATACACCACACTAAGGCTTATGGATACAAACATGAGTAAGAAAACGACCCTGTCCTAATGGTACTCTCAACCATGACTTTCTACTGTGGTCTGCAAAGAACTGAGTTGACGTCCATCTCTTTTGATTAAATTGAGGCACCAACTATGAATGCAGAAGGTGATGAAAAGGGTGCGCAAGTGGGAGAAGCCATCTCACTTCAACTTCACAGTCTGTCCAATGCTCCGTTCCCAGTGCCCAGCAAGGTGGCACCAATCATCTGTACACAGAGGGAACCTTGGTGAGCATATGAGAAGCCAATGTGCAGGTCATCAGCTTTCACTGCTTCCAAAGGGCCGCTCCTTCCAAAGGTTCTTTAGAAAGACACTTTCATTATCTCTAAAGGTTGAGCTCTGAGACATGCTGTGAGCAAGGGAGGGTCTCCCGAGGAGTGCAGCCTGATTGAGAATGCCATGGGGATGGGGCCGAGCTGGGGCCTACTGGTGGAGCACAGTCCCAGGTCCTCTCACCCACCCGGGCCAACCCTGCCACCTGTCTCCCTGGGACTCACTCTCATAGCGGAGCTGGAAGCCGATGTCTGAGTGACTCTTGTCAGTGGAGAAGAGGAGGTAGAGATAGTTGCTGGTGCTGATGAGGAACTGGGGGACCTGGGTCCCGTGGTAAACCCCGATCAAGGGCGCGGAATATGTCCGTCCATCTCGCACTTCCAGAGTATCATAGTTGACCTCGGTTTTAAATCTGCCAAAGACGGAGATGAAGACTTCTCGAGAAACCCAAGGCTTAATAATTTGCAAATGACAAAAAGCCCTGTCTGACCCCCGGCATCAGAACAATCAGGTTTTGGCAGGCTGGAATATTTTAATATAATTTGCACACATTCACTAGCGATGTGGAAGGACATTCTCCACTGTATTTAACCCTTCTTCTTCCCTCCACGGTGGACGCAGCTTTCTCAATCTTCTCTGTGGCTTGGGCCATGACCCAACTTAAGACCTAGAGGCACCATGACTAGCCTCACAGGGGTAAGAATATTCTAAACTGGGGTCAGTTAACTATAGGTCAGGCCCAAATCTGGTTTATAGCATGGCCTGGGTGCTAAGAGTGGTTGTTACATTTATAAAGGGGTATTTTTTTTTTAAATCAAAGGCTATGTAACATATCTGCCAGTGGTCCACAAAACCTAAAATATTTATATCTGGCCCTTCACAGAAAAGCTAACTGACTGCTATTCTTGGCCGTAAAAGCTCTGTCTAGAAATCTGTGGGAGCTGGAAGGGGGGCACAGGAGCAGGATTTGGGTCAGGGGTCAGGAAAGCTGTCATTCCATACTGGAAATTTCAGGGTTATGCTCTGCACATCCTAATGCCTCCTTCAACATCTCACAGTGTCTGTCTGCCCACTCTCCTTCCTTGGGGGTGAGGGAAGAAACGGGCCCTGACATCCCCCAGCCTTTTCCTCACCCCTACAGTCATAGTCCCCTAAACAGTACAGACCCCTCTACTGAGATGGAACCAAGGTCAAGGCCAAAGCCAGTGCCATCTGCCCTGCGCAGGCCAGTCTGCTCCAGTATTCCCTGACCTAGCTGACGTTTCAGGGTCAGTGCTGTCCTCCACCTGCTCAGGGCCTCTCCCCCACCTCCCCAGAAGCTCTGGGTACAAGCACCTGTCGAAGGTGATTTTGATGGGGTAGCCTGGCTGGGCTTCAATCACCCAGGCACAGTTCAGGGCATCCTTGTAGAAGCCAGGCCAGCCCGGAGACAGGATGGTGCCACTGGGGGAAGTCAGATGACCACCGCAGGGAGCTGAGGGGACAGAAGGGAGAGAAGCAGGTTTCTTGAAGGGACAAATGAACAAACAAACAAAAACCCTCTCGATCAAATGTGTCTGCCGACAAGTATTGGTTTTGTTTTCATGGAAAATTACATAAACTATATAACGGTGAGTTCTGTCTATTGGGACCCTTACGGATATGTTCAATTGCATCATTTGGAGTTTTATTAAAGGCCGGAGGGGAGAAATGAAAAGAATCCTTTAAACAAAGTCCTTTGCCATTCTAGAAGGGCTGGAGTGCAGCTCATATTTGGATCAAATTGGTTTTTCCTTTGCTCCTCACTCAGTTGTCAGGCCTGTGGCAGAGGCAGAGGCCCACCCTACCTCCCCACACCCAGCACCCAGTGCTGTGGCGCAGGAGAGTGGGGCAGAGCCCCCGTGTCAGCTGGGAGCACCAGCACAACTGCTCTACTGTAATCTCCGTGAGGGCAGGGACCCTATTCTTTGTCTTCCACAACACAGAACCCCCAGCATTTAGCCTACAGCTTGGCACACACTTGTCCCTCTGTGCCCCGAGTCAGTGATTATTGCTTGAATCAGTGAATGGATGGAAGGGTGAATGAATGCCGTCCACATCGGTGACGCCACCAGACACTGGGTGGTGTAGGCAGACCTCTGATCTTGCCAAGCCTGTTCTCTCAGTCCCTGGGACTCTCTGTCCATTCTTCCCAGCATCGCCCACATCTTTCCCGTCACTCCTGCCTCTTCCTGCAACCAGACCCCTGGGCCCTGCTGTGGTGGTCATGGCAGCTCTTCCAGTCCTCCTCCTTCAGGGTACAGGGCTGATTTCATTGTCCACTCTTTTACAAGTTATACTAGGCCACGTGACTACCTTGACCAATAAGATGAGAGCAGAAGTGATGTATGTCACCCGCACGTGGGAACGTTAAAAGCCAGTGCCTAGTCTGCAAAATTTCCTGTGTTGGTCATTGTGGAACAAGAGGCAAGATGGAAGTCCCATCAGCCTGGGCCTTTAAGGGACCCTGAGGAGCAGAGTCCCCGATGACCATGTTATACACGTAGCCTGAATAGCCTGCGTGAGATATAAACTCTGGTTTTTAAGCCACTGAGATTTGGGGGTTAATACAGTGTAACCTAGGCCACCCTGACCAACATACCTCTCTCTTCCAGACCGCTGATGACAACCAGCCCCAATGCTGCTGCTACTGTGTCACCACGGCTGCCGTGGCCTGAGAGCCCACACATGCCAGGCATTTAACTTTACATGGAGAATCATGTCCACTCTTCACAAAACACAAACCCCATGGGAGGTGTTATTATTTCCTCCAATTTACTGCTAAGAACACTGAGGCCTATGGAGGTTAAGCAACTAGCTCTGGCTTAGCAAGTGGTAGCGCCTAGATTCAGACCTAGGAAGATGGCAGAAACCCAGAGATCTCACGCTAACCAGCCTCTCAGTTTAAAGGAACGCCTGCCTCTTTGGACTCCCTTCCTATGGGGCTACCAGATGCCAAAAGTGCCCTGAGCCAGACTGGGAAGAGGATGAAGAGCTACATAGCGCTTCTATCTCTGTAAATTTTTATAAATTCCTCCAGGCAATCAGTTTCATAAAATACAGCAACATGTAGCACACGTTTCCCCCTCTCAAGTCTATAAACTTCTTGGAAATATCTAATCGTCCAGCATTCTTAATAGAAAGTTATATTAGGAAGTTTAATGAACAAAGATGATAAAAACAGGATGATGATGACGACGGTTGACAACTCATACTGATGACATGACACTGACGACTTCATTATCCCCACTTTACAGAAAAGAAAACTAAGGCTAAATAGGCTAAGAGATCAGATCAAGAGCTAAGGGAGTTAGAGCTGAGGTTTAACCTCCAGACCTGTGTCTTCAAATCCCCTGGCAGCCTATAATAGTTCTGCCACTATGGCTGACAGTAATGAGCTCACAGGTACTGAGAGCTTACTACGTGTCGGGGCTTATGGCTTATCCTGTGACAACTGCAACACTAAAAGGCAGATACTATTATTATCCTCACTTCATAGGCAAGGATTATTGCCCATTTTCAGTAAGCTGAGGCTTGGAGAAACTAAGCAATTACATAGAACCTATATCAAACATTGAGAGTAAACTGCAAATGGGTATCACCACTTCCTGGATAAGCCCAGTTTTCAGAACCCATCCATTCATCTCACTGAAACTACTAGTAAATGCTTCCCTCTACTTCTCCAAGGCACATGTGAGACCTTGAAGGTGGGAGGGGCGTGCCTGACTGCTACGTCCCGGGTCCCCATGTGAGTGAGCCTCAGCAGAAATAGGGACTCTCTCTTGGCTCCAATCTGGCACAGGCCCAGCCATTTTGGTTGCTGGACTGTGATCTCCTCACTCACTTTCCAATAAGCCATAGTCTAGCCTCAGCTACTCTCCATATGTATCAACAAGACCCTATCGAAAATCTCCAGAGATGGAAACCCAAATCCTGCCGTTGGTGGTCGCCATTTTGTTTTCTTTCTCTGCTGTACTGTTTTATTACCTTGGCCAGTTCATCTCTTCTCTTGCTCATGTGATGGTCAAGCAACCTCTCTATTCATTCAATCCTTTATTTTCTCTTAGTTCATATTCATATTCCAGGGGGGCAGTTGTCAGGCAGGGAGATAGACAAAGGGCAGGATTCCTAAATGCGATGTCTCCTTCACATTTGAAAAGAAGCTCAACCTCACTCTTACTGAGAAAATACATATTAAAACTACAATGAGAAATTATTTCTCATCCATATCCTAGGCAAAGCCCAAAATTTGATGACAGGTGAGGCTGAGGGAAACCAGGTATTCTAGTACCTTGCTGGTAGAAATGCAAAATGACACATCCTGTATGAAGGGAAATTTGGTACCGTCCATAAAAATTCACATGCATTCACTCCCTGACCCAGCAATTCCACTTCTAGATTTCTATCGCAAAAATATACCGGCAAAAATATGTAAAGACATATGTATGGCGGCACTATTTGTAATAGCAAAAGCATGGAAACAGCCCAAATGTTCAGCAGTGGGGAGCTGGATGAACTAGGGTAATCAGCAAAATGGACTATTTATGCAGCTATAAAACAAGAAGCTAGGAAGAGTCTACACAATGTCATGGAGGGGGTCCCCAGAATATATTATTAAGTGAATAAAAGCAAGGTATAGAGGTAAAAATAAGGGTATAATATGATTTCATTTATCTAAGAAAGTGGTGGGACTGGGACACTGGGACACACACACACACACACACACACACACACACACTTCCTCATATTAACAATTAATGAAAGAGTAAACCAAAAACTCAAGATTACCTATGGAAAGAGAAATAAAAGAGCGTAGAAAGGATAGGCATAGAAGCTAGACTTTCTCAGAAATTACCTTCTTTCAGAGGTTTAACTTTGGAACTCAGTAAATATTTTACACAATTAAAAAGAAAAATTTAAATTTGACAAGCCATTTCTCAAAACTCAAAAGCAGAGGAAATAAATGAATGCAATACTGTATCAGTTGTTGGCATAATCACATGAAGAAACTAAAGAGATTTTAAAACACTGTAATTTGATAGCCCACCCCGTGTAGGCTATGGAGACAAGAAGAATTGAAAGAAAAACGGCTTAAACTATTTTCAGTAATCCTATTGCTGTTGGTGTACTGGTGTTACAGTTCTGAGGCTGTTGGGTATGTATGATGGAATTATGTTGGTGGTGCTGGGAACAGGAATTTCCAGCAACAGTGCAAGGAGACAGACAGACAGACACACACACACACACACACACACACACACACACACACACACGACATCAAGGAAGGTAAGTAACAGCGTTCTTACATTTAAAGTAAAATGAACCCATGATGCATTTTTAAAAAATGATTTCTTAGCTCTGTTCACTGACAAGACTTAGAAACAGGGACCTGCTCAATAGTAATAAGCACCTTCAGTGTCCAGATTCTAAATATCATTTTTCACTTACAAAAAAAAAAAAAAGAAGAACCAGGGCTCCTTGGAGAAACAGATGATCCTTGGTCAGGGACAGAAAATATACATGATAAGGTTGGGCCAATTTAAAAAACGATCCCACTGGCTAATGGGATAATTTGAGCGTCGATTAGAATAATAACTGCAATGGATTTAAGTACATAAAATATGTTTAAATCCATTGAACTGTTATAACATTTAAAGATGCTCAACTTTGGAAGATGTTAGGGAATCAATTCATCAATACGAAAACTGGTAAATAAAGGAATCTATCTCCTGATTTTCCTTTATGAACTAACTAGACCTTGGGGTAACCAAACAGTTGATGTGAGCAAGTTTTCTTTGAGTATTCCATCTTATAAAGGAAGCATTGATAGCATGTTACCATTTTGCAATCCATAGGCCATGATCATCGATTGCTCCTAACGTCCCCAAAGAGAGACAACCAGACATTATGTGCCTCTGATGGAGGCCCAGAGCCCTGCTTATAAGATATTCTGGTCCCAAAAATGAAACCATTTTTTTAAATCTGATTGGGTTTCTAGATCTTACCGCCAATAAAGGAAATATAAGAGAGAGAGAGAGGATCATGTTAAACAACCTCCCAGGGATGTAATTGCCAAAATTTGGGGTGCAGGAGACCCCTCAGGATAAATGACCTGGCTTTTTCAACAAAAAATTTGCAAGGGGTGGGGGTAGACACCTTAGATCAAAAAAGACTTGAGACATAGATGCAAACTGTAATATGTGAACCTAACTAGGATTCTGATTAAAAAAAAAATCCTGTGAAAGAAAGGATTAGATAATCATGGACATTTGATTATGTTAAGCAATTATGTTTATTTTTTAAGACAACAGTGTTGTGGTTATGTTTTAAAGAGTTTGTTTTATCTGTTAGGGATGCACACTAAAATGTTGTGGATAAAATATTTTGCCTGAAATTTACTCCAAAATAATCCCAGAGGAGGGTGGTGGTGGGTGGGGGTGTAAAAAGAAACAAAAT